GTCACTACCTTCCAAAACAAAAACAAAAACAAATCCATTACTGTCGAGTCGATTGCGACTCACAGTGACCCTATAAAGGAAATACTTTTTATCAAGCCGAAAAGAAAAATTTAAACAAAAACTTACACCACAAACATGTTAATTGTTCTAGCTGTAGCTAAAAGCCACAGCTGGTGTATATGAGTGCATATAAGTGCTCCACGTATAAGTGATCATTTGTGAGCTTTAAGTGACATTAACAAATATTTATTTTTAATTCTCCATCACATGATGACATTATATTTCATTAAAGGTGGCACTTAATACCACAATCAGATAAATTTTCATTCCAGTCACATATGTTTTTCTGCTGCTCCAAAGCCTGTCACCAAAGAAAGTGCATAAGGACAAGGTCAATTTTGTGTTTACTAGGCAACCACCATAACATTGTGAATGTTCAATTGATGTTTAGACTATATTAGTGCACTTTTGACCAGATTTATGGTATTGAAAAAACATCATTCAACTTACTCGAAGCAGTTCTTTTTCACCAAAAGAAAATATGTTGGCAACCACTGCATTTCCATAGATTTATGGTTCTAATAGCTCCTGAAAATAAAACTCAGTCTTTGCCAAAATCTTACTTAGGCTTTATAGCAATAACATGCCCTTTGTCCCTGCTTATGTATTTGGGAAACAGAGAAACAACCCCAATTAGTTAAAAATCCACTAATTGGAACACTAACAAACTGATCTGGGGGAGGGGAGATACGTGAGAGCCGGCACATAATGTACTTTATTTTTGTGAAAAAGAAGAAAATGGCACAAAATCATGGGAAATTGAAACAAGCAGCAACCATTTTCCAGAATGTGTTTGGAAGTGTCCGACACAAATTTAAACCCTTTTCAATAGCTAATGCCGTCACATCACAACAGGAGACCTCAATCAATAAAGATGCAGTTATGTCTAAGATACTCTACGTAAACAAGCATATCATGTGTTTAGTCTTTAATTCTGCTGATTGCAATCAAAGGAAGGGCCACGGGGTTACAGGGCTTAACTCTAGTTAGCTAAAAGCTCAAATCAACAACTTGAACCCCATTTCTTAAACAAGTGGCTGGTAACCTTGGTGTATGTACATTCGCATCACCAAGGGAGCTGCTCAAACTCTCAGTGCCCAAATCTTACTTTGGACCAATTAATTATAATCACCAGTATTTTCAAAGCTGCACCAGTGATTGAGAACCGTCACCTTGGACATAGTTATTTCAAGTTTTAGCTTATGCATTTAAACTAGATTTGTTTAAATTACAAGTTAAATCTCTACTGCTGGATGAAAGCGTATTTGCCAAGTAACCTTCAACTTTACTAGAGTATCAGAAAAAAGAATGAGATCTGAATGTCTGGTTAACATCACATCAGATGGTCCTCCACATCCTGGGGATAGACATGTGACCCAGTTCTAGGCACTGAAATAGAAGGGGAACTCTACTGGGAGCTTTTCTTTTTAGCATGAAAGGACAGAATCCTATGGGGGAAAAAGACTTTTATCCCTTTCCCCACTCTTCTTGCCTTGAACTCTGATTTAAATCCTGGAACTGAGAATTACATTTTGCAACCAGAAAGCAACAAATGTTGCTTTGAAAAGTCAGCAAGCTGGGGAAGGTGGAGGAGCTTAGAGAGCAAAAGAGCCTGGGTCTTTGATGACATTGTTCAGTCACTGAACTAGAGCAACCAACTACCTTCAGAATGTTTGTGTAAAGAACATGAAGGCCTATTTGCTTAAGGCCCCATTAGCTGAGCTTTTCATTACTTGCAGCCAAAAGCATTCCTAATGGATACATTTTGTTTTTGTTTTTCTCCATGTTTATTTTAAGCAATGAATCATTGACCATTTACTCTTGGCTAAGAACATTATAGGTATTATCACTTTTGAGCCATACAACAACCCCAAGAGAAAAGTGCTATTATTCTCATATTACTTGTGCAGAAAATGAGGCCCAGAGAATTTAACTATCTTGTCCAAGGTCATACAGAGCCTGGATTGTAAGCCAGACCCTTATGATTCCAATGCCAATGGTCTTAACTACATTGCTACAGTTCTGCTGCTAACCTCTTGGATGTGTGCAGGTCTAGTTGCTCTGATTAAATTGTATGCTATATCATGCAAGAAGAGGAATGCAAATATTGCTGTACATTTAGATCCTTAGCTATTTGAAGAATTAATGGGCTTAACTTGGTTAACTGCAAAATTATAAGATAAACATTTTTTGTTGTTCAATAAAACCAAAAGATACTTTCAACTCACTCCAAATAAAACACTCAAGACAATCCACTTTTTTTTTGACAACATGGATGACTTGATAAAAACAGTTTTGATAATAATCTAGAACTTTGGCAGGTGATAACTTTTTTCTCTCCCTGATGAGAAGCAAATGAATACAGTAGTTGGGTTTTGATGTGTACTTTTAAGGTAGCTACATGGATGTGTCTGCTAGGACCTAGGGTGCTGTTATTTGTGAAGTTGGAAATACAAATGTATCCCTTCCAGGGATTGTGTGGTGTGGTTTGTGAATTTTTTTTTTTTTTTTTTTTTGGCCAGCATTTATTGTCAGGTATTTCAGGGTGTCTAATATTTCCACTATGATACTATTTGCCCAGTAGGCACTGCAGGTGGGTCTCATGCAATTCTTTTTCTAAGCTCTCTTCTCTTGAGCATTTACTAAAGAATTAATGGGTGTTATGGATCGAATTGTGCTCCCCCACAAATATGTCAACTTGGCTAGGCCATGATTCCCAGTACTGTGTGGTTGTCCTCCATTTTGTGATTCGATGTAATTTTCCCATGTGCTGTAAATCCTAATTTCTGCCTGTGGTTAATGAGGCAAGATTAGATTATGTTAAAGAGGATTAGGGTGGGGTATAACACCCTTACTCAAGTCACATCCCTGATCTGATGCAAGGGGCATTTCCCTGGGATGTGGCCTGCATCACCTTTTATCTTACAAGAGATAAAAGGAGAGAGAAGTAAGCAGAGAGATGGGGACCTCATACCACCAAGAGAGAAGTGCCAGGAGCAGAGGGCATTCTTTGGACCCAGGGTCTCTGCGCTGAGAAGCTCCTAGACCAGGGGAAGATTGATGACAAGGAGCTTCCCCCAGAGCCAACAGACAAAAAGCCTTCCCCTGAAGCTGACTCCCTGAATTTGGACATCTAGCCTCCCAGACTGTGAGAGAATAAATTTGTTAAGGCCATCCATTTGTGGTATTTCTGTTATAGCAACACTCGACAACCAAGACAATGGACTAGGGAAAGCAGTCCAGAGGCAGCCATGTTGAAAAGATTATGATTTTGAATCAGGCTCATGGGATCAAACTTACTAAAGGTTTTCCCCTTTTCCATAAAATGAAGGGGCAAGGCCTACTTAAAAACTGTTCTCAGATTCAAGTGAGCTAAAATATCAACATACTTGTAGCAGTAAAGATAGGCAACAACTGCTTATCAAACATCTACTATGTGCTGGGTAGTGGGATCGACACCTAGAAGGTAACATGGCCCCTGCCCTCAAAAATTCACTACAGTCTCAAGCCTAATGCCTTAAAGAGGCAGGAAATAGCATGAGTTGGACAATAGTAAAATATGAAGCTGAATGCTTCTGGGATCAAGTTCCAACTCAACTTTCCAGATGTGGTGTGGGTTTTTGGTGTCCCCCAAAATGCTATGTCCACATGCTAACTCCCAGAACCTTATTTGGAAAACGAGTCTTTGAAGATGTAAATTAAGGATCTCGAGATAAGATCATCCTGGATTATCACGGTGGGCCCTGAATCCAATGACAACTGTTCTTACAACAGAGAGAAGACAAGACATACATGAAGAAAAAAAGGCCACATGAAGACAAAGGCAGAGACTGGAGTGACGCAGCCACAAGCCAAGGAATGCCTGGGGCCACCAGAAACTGGACAAGGCAAGGAAGGGTTCTCCCCAGAGCCTTCACAGGGAGTGCGACACCTTGATTTCAGATTTCTGGCTTCCAGAACTGTAATAGATTACATTTCTGTTGTTGGATGCCACTAAACTTTTGGTAATTTGTTATGGCAGCTTTAGGAAACTAATATTAAAAAAAAAAAAAAAAAGTTGCTATTAAGTCTGTTGGGACTCATGGAGACCCCACGTGTGCAGAGTAGAACTGCTCCATAGGATTTTCAAAGCTGTGACCTTTCGGAAGCAGATCGCCAGGCCTTTCTCCCGAGGCACCTCTGGTTGGAACTGCCAACCTTCTGGTCAGCAGTGAGTACTTAAGTGTTGGTGTCACCTAGTAAACTAATACACCAGATTTATCTTCTCGGGCAAGTTACCGAACCTCTCTGTGCGTCACTTTCTTTATCTGTAAAATGGGAATAACATCCTAATGACAGGTTCACTTCCTAAAAGTGGAAAATGAGAATAACTGCAGTCCTAGGAATGTACAGACATTAATAATGGTATTGATTGAGCGCTTATCATGGTCGTTCACTGTGCTAAGCACTTTACATGTACGACTTAGCGATCTCTATTCTTAATTAGAAAGTCGAGGCTGGAGCAATTTAGTAATTTGCCCAAAGCCACTCAGCTACCAAGCGGAAAAGCCGGGATTACAAGTCAAGCCAACTCCCGAGATGTTCCTTTTAACCTCCACGCTACACAGCCAGAGGGGAGGCAAACAAACGCGCTTTAAAAACGTTAGCGATTTTAATACTAGGTTCAGGCTACAGGATTAACTGCCTCTGAGCTGAAACCCCGACGTGCCGACTAAGTCCCCTCATCAGCGACTAAACTCTTCCGCGAGGAAACAACAGGGTTAATGACGTCACTTTCAGGAGTCATTGACACAATTTCGGCCCTACGGATCCTTTCAAGGGCCAAAAATCCACTTTTGGCTCTCTATCGCGCCTAAAGATGCGGTAGGCAAAAGCGGACCAATAGAAATTCAGCATTTCCGTTTTTCTTCCTAGTCCCCTCCCCGTTTAACCCCGGCCGGGGGGCAGGGCAAGGCGAGGAAGCGGAAGTGGTGGTAGCGGCGCGGGACGCAGGCGTGTTTCGGCCCCACGTGTGCGGTGAGTACTGGGAGATGTTAGTCTCCAGCCCGGTGCTGGGGCCGGAGGGACTCGCGGCGCCGTGGGAGAAGGTGGAGGGGGTCAGGCCACGCTTTCTCGAAAGGGTTCGGGGATTGACGGTGACCTGGCGAGGGGGCGGGGCATTCATTTCACGGTTACTCTTCCCGCCATGCTGCCCCTGTGCTTCAGCCCCTAAAATCCTGGCCCTGCGAGGTCGTTCAGCCTATCTGTCGTACGCGTGACAGACATGCACTCTGCTCCCGATCCTGTACTGGGCGGTAAATTAGACACTCACTTCCCTCGGGGTTTACAGCCTTAATGTACATTTGCGAATTATAAACGCTGGGAAGGAAACGAACTGGATGCTGAGACAGACAGTAGGGGAATCTGAGGAAGTGATCTTTGAGCGGAGACCTAAAGTCTGGAGGCAACCCTGACCCCTGGAAGCCGAGGGAAGAGTGCAATGGAAATCTGTTGAACGCTTGCAAGGGAGAAACAGGCCCTGGTTGCTCTTTCGAAAATACGTTGTATATAAATTGAAAGTCCAGTAAGGAGGTGGTTTGGATTCGATAATTCACGTGGTGGTAGTGGAGTTCGAAGTTGGAGAGTTAGTTGTTAGGTGCAGTCGAGCTGGTTCCAACTCATAACACTCAATGTACAACAGAACAAAACACTACCTGGTCCTGCACCATCCTCACAGTTGTTGCTATGTTTGAGTCCCTTGTTGCAGCCACTGTGTCAAATCCATCTCATCGAGAGTCTTCGTCTTTTATGCTGACCCTTGAAGAGGACTTACTGATGGATTGAGTGTGGGAGACCAGGGATTGAAAAATGTCAAGGATAATTTTTAAGTCTCTTCCTTGAGCAGTAGAGTGAGTGATGTGCCATTGACTGAGGTGGGGAAGAATAGGATGGGGAGAACTGACCAAGCTGTTGGCTGTTTGAGGGAGGTTTACAGTGGAGAGATAGGTCAAGAATGATGTTTTGGGTCTGTTAAGTGTAAGGTGCTTGTTAGACACATAAATGGAGATGTCAGATAGGCAGTTAGATACACAGGTCTGGAGCCAAGGAGAAGTTCGTAATGGAGAAATAATTGGGGAGTCTTCGGCATGGTAATTCATGAGACTGGATGAGATCATCTAGGAAGAAACGTGGAGAGAGAAGAAAGGGTCATTAGGACAAAGAGTTGAGGTATGTCAACATTTAGATTAGGTGTTGAATGGTTAAGGAGCCCTGGTGGTGCAGTGGTTAAACTGAAAGATTGGCGGCTTGAACCTCCCATCTGTTCTGCGGGAGAGAGACCTGGCAATCTGCTCCTGTAAAGATTACAGCTTAGAAAACCCTATAGAGCAGTTCTGCTTTGTTACATGGGATTGCTGTGGGTTGGAATCGAGTCAGCAACCACAGCAACAGCAACATTGAATGGTTACTGCTTTCAAAGCAAGAAATCCAGTGATAATATTGTCGGTGACTCATCTTAAAGTGTTTCCAGATTACAAGAAATGCAAACACTGGTGCTTCTACTTAATGTAAACAATGGTGTATTTTTAGCTAGTACTATTTCAGAATGTGGCCTCCAGATACACCAGGCGGGAGTCATGGTGGATGTTTCTCGTGTCTGTATTGGAATTGAGTTCATTTTCTATTCTGAAGTCTTAGAGCAGTGATTGCATCACGGCTGGGCTTGTGTGGGTGCCCATGCTCTCCCTGGTGATTCGTACTCCACCTGGGAGCTGAAGGACTGCAAGTGGCAATGACTACATACCCACCCTTATGTGACGAGGAGAAATTCAGTGAGCCTGTTTTGTTTTTGTTTTCCAGAGTTGCTATGATGGAAGTCAAAGGAAGAAAAAAATTCACAGGAAAGGGTACAAAGCCATCACAAGAAACAAGCAGATTTCATAAAAGCAGCGGTAAGCCAGCCATAGCCAAGCAGGCGTCACAGCATGGTGGTTTTGGCCATTGCAGTTGGGGGGGGGGGGGTGATGGTGGGAGCAGGTGGCAGACCCAGTCTGTACTCCTGGGCCAGGATTAGGATTGAATGCTAGGACGAAGGAGGTGTTAGTGTATATGAGTTAACATGTTTTTGCAAAGCTTAAAACATTTGAGAAATTGCTAGAATAATGAGAGAATGTGATATATGATGCTCACGAAGGACCCCATATCTCAGCCAGGGATGCTGCTGCCTGGTTATGCTTAGTGTTTGACAGCTCGGGACTGGTTAATACGCAGTACTGGTCACCCAAATACTTCTGGTGTCAGGGTTTGTAACTGTGATGTCTGTGTTATTCCATCAGGTGTCAGTGTTGAAAAACCGAAAAGTCAGGGACCCTGTAAATGACTAACTGTGTGCGTCGGAATTGACAGCAATTGGTTTGTTTTTTTGTTTGAAGCTCGTCTTATCTGTTAGGTTCTTAGTTGGCAAGCTTTATTGACCAAAGGAGGTTTTTATCAAATCATTTTATAATAGGCTTTGAAAAGAATTTTTCTCAAAACTAGACATGTTGAAAACACTATTAATTTGTCTTTATGACGTACTTTTTCAATTTCAAGAGAGTTGATTTTATTCTTTGAATCCTTCTATGTTATTGAACCACCAAAAACTATGTGTAAAGACCTTAAGGACTTAGTCATTAAAGTAGAATTCAAAAATGTGAATACTGTCCCTCCCAGCTGCTTAAAACTAGACAATTACACCAATACATGTCATCTGTGGCCACCTCTTGACCAGGTGGTGGGATTATGGGTAGTCTTTATTATGCACTTCTGCTTTCTAGGTTTTCTGTAATGAACCTATATTATAATTTTATCATCAGGGAAACTATTTTGTTTTGTGCTGTTGTGATTTTTTAAATCCCAGTCTATTCAAAAGGATGAACATTGCATATTTGAAAGTAAGACAAAGTATATCTCACTAAAAAAACCCAAAACCAAACGCTTTGCTGTTGAGTTGATTCTAACTCATAGTGACCCTATAGGACAGAGTAGAACTGCCCCATAGGGTTTTCAGGGAGCATCTGGTAAACTCAAACTGCTGACCTTTTGGTTAGCAGCTGAGCTCTTAACTACTGCGCCACCAGGGCTTGCCAAAGAACCTGTAATTTTCTGTAATGAACTCTAACCAGTGGACAAAAGAGATCTCTGCCCGGGGTCGTTGAATTAATAATTATTTATCATTGTCACTAGATTCTGGTTCTTCAAAGACGTTCCCAGGAAAAGTTGTCAAGGAAGGTGGACCTAAAGTCCCATCTAAGAACTTTGAGAAAAGTGCCACAAAACCTGGGAAGAAGGGTGTGAAGCAGTTCAAGAATAAGCAGCAAGGGGATAAAGTACCAAAGAACAAATTCCAGCCGGCCAGTAAATTCAACAAGAAGAGAAAATTCCAGCCGAACAGTACAAGTGATGGTAAGCATTGGTCCCTTTAGCCAGGTCTGTGCAGAGCCCTTGCCCTGCCTGAGCTCTTGCCTGAACCAAGGAGACTCAGAAGTCTCTAGACGTCCACTAGAGACCTCTCACTCATGTTCTTGAAAGGCAACATTTTTGTGGGGAAGGAAGAAGGAGCACGTTAGCTTAAATAAGCAATAGAAGCCTTCCCTGGTCAGCATGTCCCCCTTAGAGTTCCCCATTTCCTAGAAACTTCCTGAATTAGCTGTGGAATTAAGCTAAGCGGTAATGACTTAATACAGTGGAGCATCAATAAAGCTCTGAGTAGGTTAAAATTAATTAATTAATTCATTCATTCAACAGATGTTTGAGTTTCGTATGCACTGTGCTAGGAGTTGGGGTTAAAAAAAAAATATTAACATCCGATAAGGATATCAGCCCCAGCTAATGGGCATAGTTGCTGTTAAGTGCCGTTGAGTTGACATTGACTCATAGTGAGCCCATGCAACAGAGTGGAACTGCCCCGTAGGGTTTCCAAGGCTGTCATCTTTACGGAAAGCCTGCCACGTCTTTCTCTTGTGGAGCAGCTGGTGGGTTTGAAGTGCCAGCCTTTCGGTTAGCAGCCAAGTGCTTAACCACTGCACCGCCAGGGCTCCTTAGTTGTTCATTCCAAGCTGCTAACTGATTGGAAGTCTTGGCAGGGCTCCTATCTGCCTTTTGAAATAAACCATTGATCTCTGCATCAGATGCCTACGGGGGCATTTCTCACCAGAGCTCTGCTCTGTTGTGCAGCACACCCCACTGTGCGTCGTCCTGCACGGGTCTTGAGCTGTTTCCCGAGTACGTGAGCGGACATATACGCACCTGTGCTGTAACACGCACCTCTGCTGTAACACGCACCTGTGCTTTGCAGCATACCCCACCGTGCATTGTCATGCACGGGTCCTGAGCTGTTTCCCGGGTACGTGAGCTGACATACGTGCATCTCTGCTGTAACATGCCCTACTGTGCATTGTCCTGCACGGGTCCTGAGCTGTTTCCCGGGTACATGAGCTGATGTACACGCATCTCTGCTGTAACACGCCCCACTGTGCATCGTCCTGCAAGGGTCTCGAGCCGTTTCCTGGGTATATGAGCCGACGTATGCACACCTTTGCTGCAGCGTGATGCAGATTACTCTGGTGGCTCTTGTTCTTTTTCTCCAACACGACCGGTCCCAGCACTGTACCTTTGCTGCCAGCTGAGGCCACTGCCGTGGGGCCTTCTCAGTTCCCTCTGCCAGCCCCGGGAGCTGTCTGATCTGCCTGAGAGCTGCTCTCTGGAGGAACATCAGCCTTAAGACAGAGAAGGGGGAGAGAGGAAGGAAGGGAAGATATCATTGTTTCTCATCACGTCTGCAGGATCCTTGCGCACCGCAGCCTCCATTTTTCCTCCTGCTGTTCGTCTTCCTCCCCCTCCTCCCAACCCAGTTCTTCCTCTTCCAGCTTCTCTGCCCTGTTGTCCTTCCTGGCCTGTCTGTTGTTGTTAGCTGCCGTCCAGCCGCCGCCCGATTCGTGGTGACTCCATCATGACGTGTTTGAATCATTGTGATCCATAAGGTTTTCGTTGGCTGATTTTCTGGAAGTAGATTACCAGGCATTTCTTCCTACTCTGCCTTAGTCTGGAAGCTCCACTGAAACCTGTTCAGCATCATAGCAACACACAAGCCTCCACTGATAGACAGGTGGTGGCTGCACATGAGGTACACTGGCCAGGAATCGAACCAGAGTCTCCTGCATGGAAGGTCAGAATTCTCCCTCCCACTGAGCCATCACTGCCTCCTAGCCTGTCCGCTAGGTCTAAATCTTCCTGGAGTTCCTGATGCTTCCATTCTAAGCACACACACACACACATATTCCTATATTATGATCCTGTCATGCTAAAGTTCTGCTTCCGTTTGCTGTGGGAGATACGTTCTTGACATCTCAAAATGAAGCTGAATTCGTTTTATTTCTAAACCAGCAGCTGAAAGGGATTGGTTACTACTACATCTCCCTAAAATTGATATATATCTACTACGACCTAGCATGGCGTATGCCATAGGTGCCCAGATATCTATGGAATTAAAGTAGCTCTGGCTCACTTTTTATCCTCTGCCATACAGAACGGGGATGCTGCAGTATTAATCATAAATACTCCCCCTATGGCCTGTAACCTGTATTGCCAGGCAGGGAATGCATAAGTAAACAAGGGGAATAATTAAATACATTTTGGCTTGTAAAGTATTAAAAGTTATGTTCTGGAGGAATATTTAGTTTCATGGGAAAACACTTGTAATATGAGGTTAAATGAAAAGACGAGCAGGTTATGAATTTCTAAAGGAGATTAACGTAAAGTCAACATATACAGAAAAAAGGCATGAACGAAATAAATGTCAGTGGCTATTGCCGCGTTTTGAGATTATGGGACAATTTTGTTTTCTATACAAGTTATTTTTACAGTGAGTCTGATTTTTCTATAAGAAGTCATTTTATAGTGAATATTTACATATGTATATATATACACACATATATATGTGTATGTGTATGTATATATAATTAAGAAAAGGAAGATATTTAGAAGTAAGTAACTCTCCAAAGGGTACTCCTGTAAGTGGTACCCATTTTATTAAGTTACTCTTTGTCTGACCTCATTGGATTTTTTGGTTCACTTGGTATGTTGCTCAGAGTTTTGAGGACAAGAAAAAACAGTCATAAGTACTCGGCCTTTATAGCATTGCAGTTTGTAGAGAACTTTAAAATTTTGGCTACACATTGTCGTAAGAGACTGCAGAGCGCGGGGTTTCGGGGGGTCGTCTCTGGGTTTGAATATCGGCTGTACCACTTAGGAGTTGCGTGACCTTGAATACAAGGAACTTTAACTACTTGGTACCTTTGTTTCCCAAACTTGAAAAGGGAGATGATAATAGAACCCACCTCACAGGGTTACTGTGAGAATGAGTTAATACATTCCAAACAGTGAACTGTAAACTGTTCTTCCTGTTCTCGTTTGGACTCAGTTTTTCATTGAGAACTGATATCTGAAGCTCAATGATCTTACAGTTCTAAAGTAGAATTTTATCACTGAAAAAGATGCTTGCATTTTTTAAAGTGCCTTTACAATCCTTTCGGTTTCCTTAATAAGTATTTCTGTTAAGAATCAATAAATAATTGTTGAATGAATGAATGATAGGGTTTGATCAAATTTAAAATGTACAGACTGCTCAGAAAATGAACTAGAGTGTCAAGTCTTAGGAGATATTTCCCTCTGTAGCTTCTGCAGTGAGTATTGATCCTGATTTGTGATAGCCCTCTTTCCCTAAGTTGAATTTGTTTATGGCACTCAGAATGTTAAATGTAATTGAAAATCAATTCTGTAATAAATAGAATCAGCCGCCAAGAAACCCAAATGGGATGATTTCAAAAAGAAGAAGAAAGAGCTGAAGCAGAGCAGACAACTCAGTGACAAAACCAACTATGACATTGTCGTCCGGGCAAAGCAGATTTGGGAGCTCTTAAGAAGGTAAAGCCACCTAATGGCGTCTTTACTAGTCCCTTTGAAATGATGGGAAAGCATTAGTACCTTGTAAACAGCGAGAAGCCCTGAAATAAATGGCAGAGCGCTTGGTTTATTCACAGAGTATACCTACCACCCCAGTAGACACATCAGTATTTGGCCGTCTCCTTATTGCAGAAATGTGTGGAATCATTAGGATGGTGTCAGATGTGTTTATGAAATGTATTATGAAGCCAAAGTGGATTTAACATCCTTCCTGCGAGACTTTTGAGGAAATGAAGGGCTGTTTCTTATCAGCTAGGCTTTGAAATACTTGTTAAGCATTTGCTGTCCTCGACTTCGTTTATTGTTTTCTTTACTTCTGAAGTTCTGGCTGTCAAGATTTGGATTGATGCATGAAGTTATACCTTAGTGAGATTGAGTTTCTGCTTTTGAGGAAATTACTTTCTTTGGCTGTTCAGTTTTGTTTTTTTTTTGAGAACACAGTTTCAATTTTAATGGTCTCATTAAGGGAAGGATTTGTTGATCCAAAATGTTTTCCAGGATTTTTCATACTCCTCAGGTGGATGAGTCACGTGGTATTTTGGCAGTGGCCAACTCCATCCTGGCGTTGCCAGTGTCAGCATCCACGGTGGCTTTTCAGTTTTAATGTCAGAGGTTGGTTGCCTCCGAAAAGAATTACTTCGAACTGGGTGACCATGTATTAGCATGGTTTTTAGGCTTGTGTGTTTAAAATAACTTCTGTACTTAAGCTGTATTTCCTTCCTCCTTCTCGTTTACAGAAAAGACTGTGACAAAGAAAAAAGAGTGAAGTTGATGAGCGATTTGCAGAAGTTGATTCAGGGGAAAATTAAAACTGTAAGTGTGGCACACACAGAATTGGAATTGTGAGCAATTGAAATGGACTCGCTCTCAGTGACCATTTATGGCAGGTGAATTCTTCATCGTTTCCCATGTATTTGGCCAGAACATTTCCAATATCATTCATAACACTGACTAAATAAAAATTGAATGGTGAGAGAGCCTTACTGCTGGGCAGCCGTGGAAAGACTGAATATTGCGCTGTGCCATTTTTTAGTAATTTCTTAAATCCATTTTCTCTTAAAAAATTATCTTGAGGAGTTTAGTCGTATGTGTTTGAATGTCTTGCTCAGAATTGTGTGTGATTCAGTATGTTTTAAATTGCTGGCTCTTTTGCGTTTGTGGCACAAACATTTAATTCCTTCTTTTCTTCCTTTGCTTTTACAAACGTCCTCCAAAGATCTTTAACTAAAATAGAGTAGATTTGGGAGCTATAATTTTCAGTGTTGCTGCTTAATCCTGTTTGTAATAAACTTCCATTGGCTCTCGTGTATTTGGATAAGTACTTCGTGGCCGCACACTTGAAAGAAAACAGACTCCAGTAGCTTTGGGGCCCTGGAGGTGCTGACTTTGCCAAACCATGTGTGTAATCTGTTGCCGTCAAGTTGATTCCAACTGACAGCGACCCTATAGGACAGAGTAGAACTGCCCCACAGGGTTTCCAAGGCTGTAATCTTTAGGGAAGCAGACTGCCACCTCTGTCTCCTGCCGAGCGGAGCGGCTGGTGGATTTGAACCGCCCACTTTTGTTTAGCAGCCGAGTGCTTAACCACATGCATAGGTCTAACCAAATCCCGTGCTACAGTTTGAAGGACTGTCTTGAAATAGCAAGTCCCCAGCTGCTGCTTTCTTACCAGCCTAAGCAAGATCTTTTTAGGGCGGAACCGCCCCTCAGCTCTAGCTGTCTTCTGTTGTCCTCAGTTGACGGCTGTTTCCCGCCAAGTCCTTTCCTGACGACCTTTGGGATTTTATGGCAGGACCACGGACTTAGCCTGGTATCCACGTCCTGGCTCTGATGTTTGAAATACAGGCGCCTTTGAGCAATAACAACAACGAACCATTAATCAGCTGTCCCTGCCTGCTAGGAATTGCGCTAACCAGCACACACATTGTCTCGTTTAACTTGCATCATTGTCCCGATTGTATGCTTGAGACAGCTGGGGCTCAGAGAAGTTCAGTTTCTTGCCCAGGGCCCCCGGGTAGCCAGTTCCCTAACTTGTCATCACCTCACTTTTCCCATCTGTAAAGTGGGAGTAACAGCACATCGCCCTTCGGTTGCTTTGAGGTCTGAATGAGAGATTATGTTTAAGGCGTTCATTTTGATTAGGTGTTAAGTGCTCAAATGTACGCACGTGGTGATTCTCAGCCGTTTTTTAGAAGTGTAACCCAACCTCAAGCGCAGGAAGAGACCAAGAACTTGACCTCTAGTGTTGGTAGTTTGTTATTGTGCAGCCAGCGAGTAAATAAAATGTCAACAAAGTAAATGATTTTATGTCCATCTCTCAAGAACAACCTTTTTTTTTTAAAGTCTTTTTTTAAAGTTTTCTCAAAGATATCCAAGTAAATCTCCCTTAAAGAAATTGGTCAGAAATCGGTTAGAAATCCCTATCTTTCATGGAGTGTACCTTCACCTTCCGATTTGTTGTAATTTAAAAAATTTAAAAATGAGGTGAGCAACAGATAAACACTTCTAAAGTAGACTAGAATGGTAACATAATAAAAATAATTTGGTATGATTGATTACCTCTGGCTGTTGCTGTAGAAGATTGATCGTTGAGGCCTTGATGCGGGTCTAATCCATTCTAATGTTTGTGGAGGTGGTGGGGGCAGGGAGAGGAATGGGTTGGAGAATCAGATTTGCAGTCCAGTGTGACTTCTCTAGGATATACGTGGCTGTGTGTGCAGGGGTTCTAATGAAGATGTGAGAAGTGGAGTATTGGTAATGTAGCTGCCAGTATGTGTGTGTAGATATGCTGGATGGATTGATTTATGTTTATCTATAGGAGTCTCTGGGTAGCACACGCTGTCATGCACTGAACTACCAGCCGAAAGGTCAGCAGTTTGAACCCACCCAGAAGTGCGCTCGGAAGACATGCCTGGCTGTCTGCTTCCGAAAGGTCACAGCCTTGAAAACCCTTCGGAGCAGTTCTACTCTGCACACATGGAGTCGGCCATAGTTGGAATTTACTCAACAGCAGCTGACGACAACATCTTTCTCTATACCCTTAGTTGCCAAAGCCAAACATTCTTAGATTACGTACATAAAAATCCTAGAATAATAGTATTTTTGAACCTCGGAACATTCCCCTTATAGGGAAGATAACTTTCAGAGAAGTAACAGTGCATACGATGACTAGACAGTTTTGGTTTGGTTTGATTTTAATTGTAACGATAGGAATCTTGCAAAATGGTTAATCTATGCATCCTTAAACGCCGTTATTAATTATACCTATAAAACGTGTTAGTAACAAAACCAGACAGTGCTGGTTCAGCCTGGTTTTATCCATGAAGACCCAGCCTTCTTTCTAACAGAGAATTCTAAAAGAAGTAGCAGTAAAACAAGAAGGGAACCTAAGTCCTCAGAGAGAATTGGTCTGAAGGCCCACACTGTTTTCCCTGCAGATTGCCTTTGCACACGACTCCACGCGCGTGATCCAGTGCTACATCCAGTACGGAAATGCAGAGCAGAGAAAAGAGGCTTTCGAAGAATTGCGAGGTATTCGTTGTATGCTGAAGCTGAAATTTATTGTAATCATTTGTAGTATGCCCGTTGCTTTCTCTTGAAATACCCAAGACGCTCCTGGACAAGGAAAGCAGAGTTATTTGTTTGTGTCCCCAGGATTGTGCTTTTATTAGTCTTTTTCTTTGTTCAGAAGGATGGAAATGAGAACACCAAATCACTGTTAAGTTTTTTTGCTTTTCAGATAATTTGGTTGAATTGAGTAAAGCCAAATATTCCAGAAATGTTGTTAAGAAATTTCTCATGTATGGGTAAGTTGTTTTGTTTCTTGGCTTTTTAAAGGAGCGGGTACTGATCGTGTGCATGTGTCATTTAGAAAGCCGAGTGTAATATTTCCAGGGATTCTAGTCTGAACAAGTTACTGAAATTAATGTAAAATTATGGGACTGCCTTCACTGTTCTTAAGGGTGTATTTTTATGTCTTGAAGCTCTGGAGGAAGAGAATTGGAATAATTAACTTGTAAGGAGTTTCCAGTATTTAGAGAGGGTGGAGGGCTGGGGTGGGGTGCAGGTAAGTAGACTCAGGTAGCATCAGTGGCTTAGGAAAGGTCAGGATTGGGATTCTCTACATTAGGTGGGACTGTTACTTGTCTTGACTTACCTTTCTGAGCATAATAATATGCCAGATAACCAACCACAAAAGACAATATTATACACAGTTGACAAGATTTTCAGAAAATGTATTCCTGGCTGATTTGCTTGATTATTTAAAAATATAATATAAATACTGCTGTTGACTCCTGTCTTAAAAGAACATCCTAGAAACTGTTGTATTCATATTTCCCTGTATCTTTGATTTTCTGCTTTCCCTTTTCTGCTACTTACTTTGTTTCAACCTGAACAGTTTAATGAGAAACCACTTGCTGTCCAGGCAACTCTGACTCCTGGTGACCCTGTGTGTGTGTCAGAATAGAACTGTGCTCCGTAAGGTTTTCAGTGGCTGATTTTCCAGAAGCAGATCACCAGGCCTTTCTTCCGAGGCACCGCCTAGAGACTCCACATTTGCTAACAGCAGCTGACATTTACTGAGCACTTACTACGTGCTGGTCACTGGTCTCGGTGCAGCTTCCCCCCACAGCAACATTACTCTCTCTACTTTGTGCATGTGGAAGCTGAGGCACAGAGACGTCGGAGCCCTTGCTGCAGGCCTTTCAGCTGGAAGCAGAGCCAGGTTGCAAACCTTGTCAGGCTGGCGACCAAGCCACTTTGACAGCTCAAGGTGCAAATACAAGGCAGTTGGAATTGTCTGCTTATAAGCATTGAGCTGTGGGAGCCTTCCTGCACATCCGTCAGCTAGTCACGGGAGAAGGCAGTCCCTTTCTGTTGGTGTTGCCACCCAGCTTTCTTTCACCATTTATTATTTTTCTCCATGATCCTTGGGTTTAAGAAGCCCTGGTGTCACAGTGGTTAAGCACTCGGCTGCTAACCAAAAGGTCTGTGGTTAGAACCCATCAGCTGCTCTTCAGGAGGAAGATACGGCAGTCTGCTTCCGTGCAGATGACAGCCTTAGAAACCCTGCGGGGTATTCCGTCCTACGGGGTCCCTTTGAGTTGGGATTGACTCGGTGACAGTGGGTTTGGTGGGTTTTTTTGCTTTATCGTTGGGTTTAGGAGCAAACCACAGATTGCAGAGATCATCCGCAGTTTCAGAGGCCACGTGAGGAAGATGCTGCGGCACGCGGAAGCCTCAGCCATTGTCGAGTACGCCTACAACGACAAAGCCATTCTGGAGCAGAGGAACCTGCTGACGGAGGAGCTCTATGGAAACACGTTTCAGCTCTACAAGGTGCGGCTCAGGAAGCTGCTTTGAGGATGATTACTCTCTCTATGTGCTGTTCTTCCTTCAATGCCCTGTTTTCAGAATGGATTTTTAGTTTGGTTGGGCGTTCAAGAGACTGTGTCACATCCTTTATTCTCTTAGATGATTTTGTCCAGAGTGAGTGAGTGACCATACGGGCATTTCTGTCTCCCAGAGCTCTCTCTTTAAATCCCATCACACTAAATCACCTTTGTGATCCCTCCCTGCTGCTTTGTGGATGGCGCTCCAGTACTTCTGGTTCAGCTGCCAGTCAGGCCAAGCACTTGTTTTTTTTTCAGTTGCCATTGAGACGATTCCAACTTATGGCAACGCTGTGTGTGTCGGTGTAGACCTGTGCTCCGCAGGGTTTTCAGTGGCTGATTTTTTGGAAGTACATAGCCAGGCCTTTCTTCCGAGGTGCCTCTGGGTAAACTAGAACCTCTAGCCTTTTGGTTAGCAGCCCAGCATGTCCCAGGTGGGCCAAGGTGGAAGACTCATAAAAGCTAGTGAAGCTGAACTGCGTTGGGTGCTGTGTAGGTGCCACCCCCCACACTCTTCATGTGTGAGGATGACCCTTCCCCAGATCGTGCCCGGAGATGACAGGGAGTGGAAGCTGACTGTTAGTGTAGCACAAGGACCGAATCTGAGAAAGGCAAGTGATGGCACTTGGACAGTAAAAGGGTCTGTTTCAAACCTCGGGACATAAACACATATATTTATCTGTAGGGATATGGACTGGTTCCTGGGTTGCTTCCGTTAGTCAGGTTCTGTTCCCCAGTTGAACTTGGCACTTTTTTTTTTTAATGTTTTATTGTACTTTAGATGAAGATTTACAGAACAAACTAGCTTCTCATTAAACAGTACACATGCTGTTTTATGATGTTGGTTAACAACCCCACGACATGTCAATACCCTCCCCTTCTCAACCTTGGGTTCCCCATTACCAGCTTTCCTGTCTCCTGCCTTCTAGTCCTTGCTCCTGGGCTGGGGTGCCCCTTTAGTTTCGTTTTGTTTTATGGGCTTGTCTCATCTTTGGCTAAAGAGTGAAAGTCGGGAGTGACTTCATTACTGAGCTGGAAGGGTGTCCAGGGGCCATACTCTCAGGGTTTCTCCAGTCTTCGTCAGGCCAGTAAGTCTAGTCTTTTTCTGAGTTAGAATTTTGTTCTACATTTTTCTCCACTCTGTCCGGGACCCTCTGTTGTGATCCCTGTCAGAGCAGTCAGTGGTGGTAGACGGGCACCATCTAGTTGTACTGGACTCAGTCTGGTGGAGGTCGTGGTAGTTGTAGTCCATTAGTCCTTTGGACTAATCTTTCCCTTGTCTCTTTAGTTTTCTTCATTCTCCCTTGCTCCCAAACGGGTGAGACCAGTGGGGTATCCTAGGCTCACAGGCTTTATAAGACCCCAGACACTACTCACCAAAGTAGAATGTAGAACATTGTCTTTATAAACTATGTTATGCCAGTTGAGCTCAGTGTTCCGTGAGACCATGGTCCCCACAGCCCTCAGCCCAGTAATTCGGTCCCTCAAGGAGTTTGGATGTGTTTGTGGAGCTTCCATGACCTTTCCTTGTACAAGCTGTGCTGACTTACCCAGTATTGTGTACTGTCCCAGACTTCATCATCTATTTCTTTTGAAACAGTTCACTACATGGATATCCAGGTAATTATAAAACACTTGGTGGTAGGAATTTGTGAACTGACCACTTGATCTTAGGGCTTATGCCCATTGGCTGCTTGAATGGGTTGGTTTTTAGTCGGGCTGTTTGGCCTGTTACCTTGGAGGATGTGCAGACTGAGTCAGATCATCCAGAGGTACTCCCTGACTGTGTAGACAGCAGGACTTTTGTTGTGCAGCTGTGGGAAGTCTGAAATTGACTTTTAAGTCTGTTTAAACTGTCTGCAATTGATTTTTTTTGTTCTAAAGTTAAGAGTCCTTGGGTGGTACAAACGGTTAACATTCTCAGCTGCTAACCAAGAGGTTGGCAGTTCAACTCCACCCAAGGCACTTTGGAAGAAAGGCCTGGCATTCTCATGGAAAAACAGCTATTGAAAACGTGGAGCACAGTTCTACTCTGACCAGGGCTTAGAAACTTGCATTTCTAACAAGCTCCCGGGAAGTTATACATAAGAATCACCTGGGGATCTTGTTAAACTGTAGATTCTGATTCAGTATATCTGGCGTGGAAATGCAAATTCTCAGCAGGGAACTTGTTAGAAATGCATGGGGTTGCCATGAGTCAAGGCAACTAGTTCTGGTAAAGATGAAGAACTTGATTAAATTTAGAGGGTTGGATTTTTCTTTCGTTGCAGTCAGCAGATCACCCAACCCTGGACAAAGTATTGGAGGCACAGCCAGCAAAACTGGAGCTTATCATAGATGAAATGAAACAGATTCTAATGCCAATGGCCCAAAAGTAAGAAAGATGTTTTTGTTTTTTCCTTAACAAATGGCATTTGAAGTAGGAAAGTTTTACATAAACCTTGCATAAAAAAGGTGGATGTTTCTTCTTCACTGTTACTAATCTATCCTAAGTTAAGAGACTATAAAAATTTTGGTTTGAAACTGTTCGTTGGTGTAGACAGAGATGTCTTTCTCTGATAGTGTATGCTATAAAATGATACCATGCAATTGTTTAGCAATGAAACTTTTTTTTTTTTTCCAAATAAAATGTTACCTTGAACCTTTATATACTGAGTAGTTTCACAAACACAGCCTGTGGCTGAGATGGATTTGTAAGGCCCAGAAGCCTGAGCGAGTGCCCTTCTTGGCATTTGTGGCATCGTGGAGTGGTTAGGAGCATATGGAATAGCCGCAGGCCGTCTGGGCGTGAATCCTGGTACCTCCAGTTACTGTCGCTGTGACCTTGGGCACCATAACCTCTCTGTGCTTCAGGTTCCTTATCTATAAAACTGGAGTGATAGTCATAGATACTTCATACTGTTTTAAGATTAAATGGGTTAATATTTCTCACACAGTCAGAGTGGTGCTTTGCCCACGGTTAAGGCTGCCAAAGTGTTTACTGTCTGCTTGAATTCTCCATGTGACCTTGGAGGTCTGTGATGCCCGACCATCACCCTCCACTCCACACCTGAGTCCCCCAGGTGTCACACGAGGAGGCTTGGATCCAGTAGGTGTCACTGCGATGGTTGGTGGTGTTTTGATTCATGTAGGTTTTAATCGTGTTGGTTATTTTATGGAACCAGATGCATTGTGAAAGATGACTGGCAGAAAAAAAGTGCAGTTAAAGAAGCAGGTCCACAGATGTGGATTCCTAATCATGGGATTCATCGCTGGGGAAAAATACAGATGTCTCTTTTTCAAAGGGTGGAGTCCCTGGGTGGTGCAAACGCTTAATGCACTCGCTGCTAGCTGCTAACTGAAAAAGGTTGGAGATTCGAGACTGCTCACAGGTGCCTGGTAAGAAAGGCCTGGTGATCTACTTCTGAACAATCAGCTATTGAAGGCCTGTGGAGCCGCAGTCTACTCTGAAACGTGGAATTGCCATGAGTAAAAAATGTAAAAGGGCAGAGCATATTTTGAGTGATGGTTTTATCTCTGCTGATGAGACAACTAGGAATTTGTCACTCTGGTCTTGGTTGTAGATGGCACAAAATCAGTTTCACAGTCTAGAAGTAAAAAAAGACTTTAGAATTGCCGAAAGGTACAGTCTATCTTGTCACAAGTTACGCTGGGTAAAGCTGTTTCACTTTATTTTCTAGAACAACCAAAGTTACCTGTCTGTGAATTAACTTTAGTGCCAGATCTGACGTTTTGTTTTTTTTTTTTTCTGTTTTCAGGGAAGCTGTGATTAAGCACTCTTTAGTACATAAAGTGTTCCTGGACTTTTTTACCTATGCACCCCCAAAACTAAGATCGGTGAGTTCTTGGTTTCAGTGTTTGAACCAAAGCACGGAGGGTGAGCTGTGAAGAAATGTGGAACACTGATGTGCGTTGCCTTTTGAAAAATTCAAAGGCTGGTTCCTTATTTAGAGGAGTTTGTAAAATAAACTTCTTTCGAACAAGTTTGCTAACTCTGTTTAGATTTTTTACCACAAAATTATAGAATTGACCTTAGTTTTATTAATTGGATTTTGATCCATTTATTTTTAATCCACTGGATTAAAATTAATCCGTTAGATTTTTCTATTTTAGTTATAATCTAGGGAAGTATCCTGTAACCCAGTCTGAAAATAAGCTAACAAATGTTGGCATAGTTGACCTTCAGGTAGTTTTAAATTCAGCTGTAGATCCATGAAAAGGAAAGTCACGTTGGCGTTGAAAGGTTAAAGGGGGATACTTGTTTCCAAATAAACGGCCGTGGTGTGTCAGAAGAATGAGGAACCGAGGGTGAAGGCAAGCCCCTCCAGCCCGTGGTGGGGACAGAAATGAGCATCGCGTGTCTTGGCCTGCACTGAGCTCGTTGTTTGTTCTCCCTGCTTCTAATCACAAGCGATAAGGCAGTTAGCGAGACTGACTCCTTTCTAGCAGACTTGTGAGATTGCGTCCATTCATAGGAATGGTGACCCTCTCAAAGTTGACATGCAGAATGATTCTCCGGAGCAGCCGCCCCCTGAGCCGTGGTCCACTGCCACAGCTGCTGCTGCTCTTGGGGGGGTTTCTCCCCCTTTCCTGCAGAGGGCAGTGTCTCACGGGCCTGGGTGTACCCCCTCGGCACTGTGTGTACACAGCTGACGTTGGGATCATTGCAGTGTATTCACTGGTGGAAAGTCTCTGTCTCTTTAGTGTTGAATGTGTTTTAGTTAACAGCCAAAAAAAAAGGAATTTAGTGTGAATATAAAGTGGGGGACAAATGATCTTTTCTAGCCCTAGAGGCGTTTTCAAAAGAGAGACTTAAAAAAAAAAACACTCTTGGGGATGATGGAAATGTGATTGGAATATGAGCATAACCCTCCAGCTGGACCTCTTGGAAAGGTGGCGGTCACTGGGGAGGTGTAAGTTCTGGCACATGAGCTGAAAGCTGTGTTCTTGGGTTCCTTCAGGAGGATTGTCAGATTGTTGTGGATGTGAAGTTGCGTGTTGTATTGAAGATGGGCTCCCAGGCTTCTCTTTCCTGACATGAGGCTTTTGTGTTTGTTTATTTAATTAGAACTTTTTCAGTTGGGACTGTGTGCTCAGACTTCCAAGAGATCATTTAGAAATTGTCTCCATTGGAAACAAAAACTGAAGATGAAAACTAAGCCAGACTTGTAAGAAATCAGATGATGGAGTTTTCACTTTAAGGTTGTTGATAGGCGAGGGCTTTAAGTGTGTTTAGGGTGAAAAATAGGAGCCCTGGTGGTGTGACGGTTAAGCACTTGGTTGCTAAACAAAAGGTTGGTGGTTTGAATCCACCCAGAAGCTCTGTGGGAGAAAGACCTGGCAATCTGTTCCCATAAAGATGACAGCCTAGAAAACCCTATGAGGCAGTTCTGCTCTGTCACATGGGGTCGCTGTGCTTTGGGATTGATTCTATATCACCTAACAACGTATTGAGGAATTACTGTGATTTCTGGAGGTAATTCAGTGAGAAGCTAAAAAACAGAAACTTTCCCGGCTAAAATTAGGGTTTGGGTTCTCTGCTCATTATATACACGCCTGTTTTAGGGAAAAGCGTTTTGTTTACTTTATCTGGCCCTTCTGTTAGAAACTCCTTTCTACCACACCCGCCTCTTAGACTTCTTTTCTTGACAAATGGTTTAGAACAGCTTATTCTGTGTATATAGCGTGTGACTTTTTTTGGTAGACATTGGTAAAACTCAAGTTCTTTGTTTATAGAAATTGCCTGCCAGCCACAGTTGCAGCTCTGGATGGAAAAGAACCTTTCTAGAAAAAGGTTGTGTTTCTGCGTGGTTGTCTACAAAATTAATCATTAAATTGTTGGCTACCTTTGCTCTCTTCCTTTCGTTCTCTGTGTATAACCTCCCCTCTCTGCCCGCAATGGATACATAAAAGGCATGAAAGAGAGAAAAAACACCCAGTGGCTGACAGCCTTTGTCTCCTAGGAGATGATCGAAGCCATCCGAGAAGCGGTGGTGTACCTGGCTCACACCCACGACGGTGCCAGAGTAGCCATGCACTGCCTGTGGCACGGCACCCCCAAGGTACGTGAGCTCAGCCGCCAGCATGGGGATGGTGGTTCTGGAGGGGCCGCCCCTTAGACCTCCCTCGCGGGGTCTTTGCCCCATTGTGCATAAACAACATTGTCTCCATGGAGCTGTGCCTCAGGGCCTCACAGGAATTTGCTGTCTTCTTGAGGCCCAGTGTTTCTTCTCTGCTCTGGTAGAAACCTTGAGCTTTCGTTAAAAGTATGGTAACGGATCTGACAAGCAAGTAAGCACAGTGTTTATGTTATTTATAGAGGTTTTGGTACCTGTCGGGCTCATTAAATTCTCATCTTCTGTGGGGGAGACCCAGGTTCAGTTCCCGGCCAGCGCACCTGTCAAAAACAGCGCGGAGGCAGAGTCCGACCTCCTCTAACTTCACAAAGGGGAAGGAGAATCAAGATCAACAGCCCAAGGCTGATTCCTGTGAGGCGAGGGTCAGACCTGCCTCCTCTCTCTGCCGTCTTTACCAATTCTGACACTAACCGTCTCTCCCACGGCACTGTCTACTTCTCTGCTGGCTTTCATTATTCATTGCAGTGGCCACACAGAGCTCACAGACCAGACTTGCGATTATGGGGTTTGTTAGGGAAGTAATAGGTTACCATTCAGGCTCAGGAACACTCAAGGATATAGTTCTTCCATCACGACAGCCTCTTCCCAGCCATGCTCGCAGGCACGCCTCTCGCTGTGCCTAGGCCTTTGCCCAAAGGCACTCAGCTCGCTCTCTCCGTGGGCCGAGAAGCCCACCTCGCTATCTCCTGCCTCCAGGTCTCTCCTGCCACAGCTTCTCACCATCTTCAGGGTTACAGTTCGCTCTCTCCATCTCCTGGGTCCAGGAGCTTCTCAGTGCAGGGATACCAGCTCCAAAGGATGTGCTGGCTCCTGGCTGTTCTTCCTCTGTGGTGCTGGGATTCTTTTCTTCCCTGCCTTTAGGGTGGCTCATTTCAAGCCCAGTGGGATGGCAAAACTAACTAGTCCTCTTGGTCAGCCACAATTACCCTGTCACACAGTCCTGCCCAATCACTTGCGTGGTTGTTACAAGACCATGGCTAGAAAGCCCGCACAAAAGTGATCTGTGGCACCGCGTCACCTCATGGCACAGCCACCACCTCTCTGTCAGCAGAGGCTTGCATGTTGCGATGATGCTGAACGGGTTTCAGTGGAGCTTCCAGACTAAAACAGATGAGGAAGAAAGTCCTGGCAATCTACTGCTGAAAATCATTCCGTGAAAACCCTGTGGATCGCAGTGACCCTGTCTGCACCCCTTCATGGGGATGGTTTAGGACTGGGCAGCATTGTGTTCCCTTGTGCACGCATGTGGGTTACGATGAGTTGCGGGCCACCTCGAATAACAAAGATCCTATTGAGGGAGGAGGAGATTAAGGACAGCTACAGAGTCACTCAAGTGAGTGTTAAGTACTTTGAGGAAAAAAGATAAAGATCAATATTATCACAGAAGTTTAACAGAATGATAGTCATTTCCTTGCTCTGTATAATTCTACCTTCAAAAGACTCCTGTGTGTTATCTATTTTTTTAAATTAATACAAATTTAATTAACTTAATACAATGCCTTCTGTGTGCTAGATCCCTAGTATGTGTTTGAAGATAGTTCAGATGTTAGAAGAGGGCTCTCAGCTCTCACCATGAAAGGAGGCTTCAGTTTCACTAGATTTGCCTGCTACTTGCAAATTTTATGGTTCCATATTTATGTCTGGAGCCCTGATGGCGCAGTGGTTAAGAGCTGTGGCTAGCTATGGCTGCTGACCAAAAGGTCAGCAGTACAAATCCACCAGCTGCTGCTTGGAAACCCTGTGGGGCAGTTCTGCTCTGTCCTCTAGGGTCGCTGTGAGTTGGAGTCGACTCGAGAGCAATGGGGTATGTTTATGTCTGAATGGATTTTCATGTTCAAGACTAAGATGATAAGGGCTCAGAGAGAACGTTTATAGTGTATTGCAATTCTTTTGTTCCAGCTGCATAGCTATTATTTTCACTAATCCAAAGTATGCCATTAGGTGGAATTTAGTAATACATACAAATTTTAACTGTGAAATACTCTTAATCCACACTAAGCTTATTAAGGCACTTTTTCTTTTCTTTTAAGGATAGGAAAGTGATTGTGAAAACTATGAAAACTTATGTTGAAAAAGTGGCTAATGTAAGTATATAAAGCTACATTTCCTTTAACTATTTTTAATAGTAAAATTAATTCATATCGATTATGGAAAATTCAAAAAACTCAGAAAATTACCAAGAAGTTATTTGTTCTTTATTTCATCACAATCTTTTTCTATACACATGCGTGTATTTTTATATATTGTTAAATTTGTACAACCCAGCAATCATACCATATGTACTCTTCTCTCCTTTTTTCATTTAACATTGTATTGTTGTAATTTTCCATTTTTTTATTAGTTTTCCAAGACCAGATATTTACTAACTCCTCTAATGAATTTGTTCAATCGTGTTTTTAAACATGAAGTTACCTCTTTTTTTCAATAATTCTTATGCTACAGTGTACACCTTTGAATGTAGTTTTTGTGTATTTCTGGTTATTTATAGGTTAATTTCCTAGGAATGTAATTGCCTTGTTAAGATATATATACATGTCCTAGACTCCAAATAAATAACACCAAATTACACTTTAGAAAGTTGGTACTGTTTTTGTTACCACCAAAAACATATCAGAAAGTGAAATTTGTGTCTCTTTTTCTTTGTAGTGTGGTCCCAGGAAATTCTGATTGTTAAACTGTGTAGTTCTTTGGAATCCTCTGGCTATCAACTTTCCTGATGAACTTAGCACAAAGTTCTTTTTAAGGGATTGATTGCCCTAAAATTTTCATTTCTATATATTTAAATGCGAAACAGTTTTCTATACTGTTTCTATAGAATACTATAAGTAGAATGGATATAATAGTAACCATTAAGTGCTTGGCTACTAACCAGAAGGTTGGAGGTTTGAACCCACCTAGAGGCACCTCAGAAGAAAGGCCTAGTGATCTGCTTCCAAAACGTCACAGCTGTGAAAACCCTGGGGAGTAGTTCTGCTCCAAAACAAATGGGATCATCAGAGTTGATTTGACAGCAGTGGACTTTAACCATTATTTTAATTTTGCAGTTATATTTTGTATATCATGTTTGACAGCTTCTAATTTGCTAGTGAACGAAAATTAGTGACAGCAACTGCTTTTTCCTGTGAAGACTCGAGTGAGAACTGCTAACAGCTGGTGAATACTTACCTAGCAAATGCTGATTTAAACAAAGATGAGACTGGTGCTGGTGGCTTTCTACAAGTATGTCTTCTCTGAGGCTTGGAAACTGGGGGAATAGCACAGAGCCACTCAGAGGGCGGCTGACTTTCCTAGAACAAAGTGAGATTCTTTAGGGAGTTGTTTCTGTACCATGAGAAGACTTATTTGTAATTTATCATTAAGTAAATCTTTTGTATGATATTTTAATTTGAATATTTTAAATTAGAAATGAGGAATTATAATGTTAATAGAAAGCTCTAAAAGGTATTAATAGTAAGAAAACAATTTTTAGTCATAAAATTAATTACATTGTTTTAATTTTAGTTTGGTCCCGTCATAATTCAACACACATTTCTTTGAGAACCTAATCCCAGCAGTTGGCATGGTGATGGTAACACAGATTAACAATACGAGGGCCTTTTTTCTCTCAAGGAGTTGCATTTCTAAGGAAGAGAGAAATTTAGCACAGCCCCTGGGCTGTTTAATCCGTGGGCTGTTCAGAAGTGTTGTTTATTTGTCAGTTGCCGAGAGAAGTATGTTAACCTCCCCAGCTATGGTTGTGCAAGTGTCGAGTTCTCACTTAAATTTTGTTTGCAGCTTCTTTTGTATCCACCCAGAGATCCTTTGTGCTTGAGTATGTGTGTGTGCGTGAGACCTGAAAAAACCAGACGCCAGTGGTTGTGTGCTGTGCAGGGCAGGGTTTCAAACTGATTCGCCCTGGTTTGAACCCTTGCTGAGGATTCGCGTTTCTAACAAGCTCCCAGGTGATGCTAATGCTGCTGGTTAGGGACCAGTCCTGAGAACCACCAGTAGAGCAGTGGTTCTCAAGATTTATTATACATAAGAATCACCTGGGGATCTTGTTAAACTGTAGATTCTGGGGTGAAATCTTTAGCATCCCCTGGGAACTTGTTAGAAATGCAAATTCTCCACAGGCTTTTGAGCTAGAAGGAACCCTTTGGAAGCCCTGGTACTGTGCACATTGTTCTCAACTTGGTGTTTTTCACTTAATTCGTTTTGGAGATCATTTTATTCCAGTACATATACATTATTAAAAAAATAAAAACTCACCGGAATTTGAACGTAAGGTTTATTCTGAGCATTTTATTTTTATGTGTATAGGGAAGCCATTTTGATTCCAGAAAAAGCAAATGGCTGGGAGAAGCTAGGTGCAGTGGGGCTTATAATGAGAAGAGGAGGGAGAAATACAGACGATCAACCATTGGCTAATCTCAACATGATAGATTGAACCCTGCCTTAACCCTTTGCTGAGATCTACTGATAACAGTTTACGTCTGGTCTGGCTGCTAATAATTTGGCCTTCCACCACCTGCAAGGAGCCTTGGTGGCATAGTGGTTAAGCACCTGGCTGCTAACTGAAAGGCTGCTCCATGGGATAAAGATGTGGCAATCTGCTTCCGTAAAGATTACCAAACCTGTTGCCATTGAGTCAATTCCGGCCCATAGTGACCCTATAGGACAGAGTAGAACTGCCCCATAAAGTTTCTAAGGAGTGGCTGGTGGATTTGAACTGCCTACGTTTTGGTTAGCAGCCGAACTCTTAACCACTGTGCCACCAGGGCCTTGGAAACCCTATGGGGCAGTTCTGCTCTGTCCTGTAGGGTCACTATGAGTTGGAATTAACTCCATGGCAAAAGTCTTGGTACCCACCTGCAGCCATGAGGCTTTTATGGGATTTAATTTAGGAGGCAATGGTTTGACCAACCATCTTTCTCTAGCGAGGTAAGACATTTACGTTGCTACAGTGCACCTTCTGGCAGGCTTTTGCAGTTTGGGTTAGGTTTTTTATGGTTAATATTTGGTTTCCTGGATAAGAAAAACCTTAAAGGAAGATGTCTGTTATTAATTTTCCTGCTAACAACACCTTTCCCCCTCACATCTTTAAATGACTTGGTAATATTTCAGTCTCTGGGTGTGCTGTCATTCCCTTAGTCAGCCCCCTCCTGTTGGGCTCTTGGGTCCTTTCTAGGTTCTTGCTGTTACAAATAGTACTCCAGTGAATATCGTTCCACTCGGGTCATTGTGCTTGTGTGGAAGCATGTCTCTAGGGTCAATTCCTAGAACTAGAATTGCTGGGTGCATGCATTTCATATTTTTATTGGTGTCAGTCGACCTCCAAAGGGATAGAATCCCTTTGCACTCTCTCCAGTAAACTGACAGCGCATCAGCTTTCCCCAAACCTTTGCAGGCTTAGTGTATTATTAAAGGGTTTCCTCCTTGCCAGTAGCATAGGTGGAAAATGGTGTCTCATTGGTTTAACTTGTGAGCAAGGTTAATTAATTAATGAGCGCTGCTGACCATTGTTTCAAGTGTAAAGCGTGTGCCCTTCCCTTTTTTTGTGAACTGACATTTTTAGTGGATTGTAACTATATACATGTAAATATATAAAATTTCATGCATTCAGGGAAGTTAGCCCTTGGTTGTTCTCCTCCAGTTTGTTGACCTCATAATTGGCATTTTCCTCATTGTTTCTAATTGAAATTTTATTATCTGCCATATTCATCAGACTCGGCTCTGAATGAGTTTTGGTGGTTATCAAAAATCAAATCCTCCCTTCAGAGTAAAAGAAAAGAATGATATCGTCATCCAGGAAACTGAAAAGAATTGAAAACACTGTCCAAAAACATTTTTTTTTTAACACAAAGTAGCAGTGTTTTAAATGTTTGGAACACTTAGCATCATAGAAATCAGTGCGTCATTTAAGAGGTGACTACAGGTGGTCCCCGACTTTACAATGTATTCGAGGTACCACGAACTGCACTTACGACTGTCTTTTTTATGATTTGTGAATTTTTTAATGTATTTATGTATTAAAATATATCTCTGAGTGTATATGTAGTGTTCCCAACACCCAAAGACAAATAAAAGATTGTACGTATAAAGATACTGATAATAGAAGGCAATAATAATGAAAACTGAAAAAAATTAGATATCCCGATTACATCAGAGCCGACTTACGAGAGAGTCATCAGAACAAGCCCCGTCCTAAGTTGAGACTACCTGTGTTATGAAAACCACAGTGCGTATTTCCATGAGTTCAGGCTGCTATAGTTAATTAAAAACAATTATTTTTATCTTATTCCTATATCCAGTATGTAAGTATACCCTTCTAGTTTATTTTTCACTGTTGCTATTCTAATTATGTATGATCATTTTATAGCAGTTGGAAAGGTTACAAAAGAAAAAGAAAAATTAACCCAAAGATGACTATTGCAGTGTTTTTCCTTCTAGGATTTTCTGTGTACGTGTTCTATGTATAATTACGTACATATATGGAGTCCTCCTGGCACAGTGGGTAAAAGCTCGGCTGCTAACCAAAAGATCAGCAGTTCATATCCAATCCTTGGAAACCCTATGGGGCAGTTCTGCTCTGTCCTGTAGGGTCGCTATGAGTCAGAATTGACTCGACGGCAGGGGGTTTTGGCTTTTTTATGTATGTATATATCTGTGTTTATGTTATTTTCTTTTCATGATTGGAATGCTGCTCTACATACAGTTTTATATTCTTTTTCTTTAACCTTATTTGAATTTTCTCGAGTGTAATTTTCAAGTAGCTATTAACGGGAGGAGCCGTGGTGGCGCAGTGGTTAATGCACTCGCTCGGCTGCTAACCAAAAGGTCGGCGGTTCAGAACCCACCAGCTGCTCCACAGGAGAAAGATGTGGCAGTCTGCTTCCCTAAAGATTACAGCCTTGGAAACCTTGTGGGGCAGTTCTGCTCTGTCCTGTAGGGTCGCTGTGAGTCAAAATTGACTGACGGCAACAGATTTGGTTTGGTTTTGGTTTTTTTAATTCATTAACAGGATAGCTATTTACAGAGGTACTACATCCTGGCCAGTTTTTTAAAAAAAAATGAGTCTGAGCTATTTGATACTGAACAATGTGCTTTTTTATTTCTTCCTTTTTTCTTTAACCAACCCTGCCTCTAGAATATAATTAACTAGGTCCTGATAAGGGAGGAAGTTTATTTGAATGGCTTTTATCCATCTTGTGTACATCATGTGGGAGCATTTGTCAGTGTTGGTAACCTTTGTAAAGTGACAACTCCATTGGGCAGAATAAAAGGGAAAACCTATGCATTTTTTAAACCTTGACCGTCCTCTGATTCTTACAGGGCCAATACTCCCATCTGGTTTTACTGGCAGCATTTGATTGCATTGACGATACTAAGCTTGTGAAGCAGATCATCGTATCAGTAAGTAATTCTGATGGTCTTTGATTTAGTTAAAGCGATCAGTCGTGGATGTGTAAGCTTGGTTTCATGTATAGATGTGTGTGAAGACTTCCACGGTGCTTTCTACCGAGTATTTTCTGTTGTCTTGTTACTTGTCTCAGTGGAGTCGTATTTCAAAGTTTGCCTGATTCTAGTATAGACCATAACTTTACAGCTTGATAGTAATACTGTTTTATCTATTTAAACTAAGACTTAAACCTGTTACATTTGAGGTGGGATAACATGGCTTTTTTTTTTTTTTTAAACAAAACAGATTTGTAAAAACTGTTTGTTAGCGTTGTGCATAAACCTTTTGTACTAAATAAATATCGAACCAGATTCTTATGAAAGATGTTCCTGGTATTTCTTAGGTCACTCTCATATGTATTATTTTCAGTGAAACCATTTTTAAAAAAGCAATGACTTAGGCAAACCAACCCTAATTCAGTAAATCATTTCCCTGTTTTCACTGAAAAGTCGCAGTGTTGTGCTTCTGTATAAAGTTTATACACCTAGCTGTGTAAAATATGGACATGTTAAAAAAACAAAACAAAGATGAAGTAAAAACTCAATCCTTTTGATTGATGCTCAGAGGATGGTTGGTCGGTACCAGGAATTGGTCTAGAGCAAAGCCACATGTCCAGTCAGGATATCACATGACACCAGTGGCTCAGCCCGTCTGAGTTGACTTTCTCCTGTCTGAAACCGTGTCAGTTCAGTCTTCAGTACTGGGAAGGGGAGGAAAACATGGGCCTCCACCCATCAAACTTCCCTCAAGCTTAGGGAACAGCTCCACAGGTAACTGTTTTGCTCCACAGCATGTGGGCAGCTTTCTCCAGTCTCCAGCTCTTCCTCCTGTTCTTAAGCCACCAGGTCTGTCTCATAAGTCATCCATGGATCTCGGCCAAGTTAGCGTGCTTCCTGCAGCTACCTTGTCACCTGCGAGCTCATCACAAAGAATCGTGACCACCAGGTCCTAGCAGAGTCTGCTGGACTTGACCCGTCGCTGTGGTGGCTCTGTTTGTGGAGCGCAGGCCTTGAAGAACGGTTCAGACCCCATGCTGGGCTGTGACATCAGTGCATAACTCCTGCAAGAATCAGTCTGAGTGGCCTTCTTCCCTCAGGAGGTCTGCTGTCAAATGCACTGCCAGGCGCACTGCCAGCTTCTCAAGCAGGTGTTCCATTTGGTTTAAAAAGTACTTCAGGTCTCAGGCCCTTAAATCTAGCTCAGCTGCCTGGTGGCGCGCTCATTTTTAACACTCCATGGAGCAGCTTTCTCAGTTTACCCCACAGCAACAGCCTTAGCAACCCACAACTTGTAGTCCTCAACAGCTGGGGGACAGGGTTCTGGAAAAGGCTCAGGCAGTCCAGAGTGGGCCTCAGCTGCTCAGCAGGCTTCCGTCGTTGACCTCACCGGAGCGGGGAGTGTGTGCGGTTCCTGCAGCATCAGACGGTCACGGCTGCAGCAGCAGCACAGACAGCCCCGTCGTCATCGGCGTACAGGCGGCCAGTGGGAAAGTAAAATGAAGAGCGGCATGCCAGCGACGCCACAGTTCTGAGTCTTGCCTTATTTATTGTTTCTCTTTTTGGAAAAGACAGAGCATTGAACATGGCATTTTTAGACCATAGGAGATACATACATTTTTTTTATTGTACTTTAGATGAAGATTTATACAACGAATAGTTTCTAATTAAACAGTACACATATTGTTTTATGACATTGGTTAACAACCCCACAACATGTGAACACTCTCCCTTCTCGACCTTGGGTTCCCTATTCCAAGCTTTCCTCTCCCCTCCTGCCTTCTAGTCCTTGTCCCTGGGCTGTTGTGCCTCATTGGTCTTGTTTTGTTTTATGGGGCTGTCTGCTGTTTGGCTGAAGGGCAAACCTTGGGAGTAACTTCATTACTGAGCTAAAAGGGTGTCCGGGGGCCATATTCTCGGGGTTTCTCCAGTTTCTGTCAGGCCAGTAAGTCTGGTCTTTTTTT